TATCAAATGGGTCAAAAGACCTTCTCCGTTCACACCTCACTTATTCTCAGGGCACAGCCTGGCTCACCGGCAGGACATGGAAGGGCAGATCAGTCACTGATTCTTCCCGCTCGGCTGCTGTTAGCCATGCAAGCCAAAGCCCTGCATAATTCTGGCAGCCTGGCTCTCAATGGCAAAGCACTCCAAGATGCTGCCCTACATGAAAGGTGTTATATAAATGGATGTTGTTGTTACTGGCAAACTTTCAAGTCCCTATTTCTTTGCCTTATCTACAGAGAAGGTGGTTTGCTAGTGCCAGGCAGCTCAATAAAATAGCCAGACAGTTCATTCACTTATTGGCTGTTTGTGGGACATCACTGTGTGCAAATTGGCTGCCGCGATTGCCCAGAAAGCTAAGAGTCACGTAAAAAGGCACTAAATGGATTTATTTTTAAAAAGCTGAAAACACTTATTTAACATTTCTTAATACATGGTCACTACACGTTACAGTAATATCCTGTGAAGTGCTTTGAGACACCCCCCCGACACGAAAGGTGCTGTACAAAACGTAAGGATTATTATCATTAATTATTAATATTATTAAAATACATTTCTGAGAGACGGTGGCGTGAGTCATTCCGAAGCCTTTTCATCAAGTACGTGTGAGTGCTTTACAAAACCCCATTTGCAAATGAAGTAGAAATTATTTCAACTGTGCATTGCATGTTAACCAGAGAGCTTCACTGCCCTGCCAGCCTGGCCTTCCTCAGGCTGGTTGGTGAAACATCCTAAACATGAGCAAACTCTGGGTGCTGAAGCACTTTAGAACCCTCTTCGCCCCGGCTGACTAAAACCAACTGCACCAGCTTTTCAGCTGAAATGCTGAACAACAATAACAACAACTTGGATTTATATAGCGCCCTCCACGCCGGACGGCGTCTCAGAAAGCTTCACAGTAACGGATCCCGGGGCCGAGCCGGGGGGAGGGGGGGGAAGGTGACCAAAGGCGCGGTCGAAAAGAAAGGTTCAAAAGACACCTGTGATCTCCAGCGCTGTAGTGTGGAGTAATGATCGCCAAGTGGATAAAACCGGGTTCTATCAACAACAGCAACTTGCATTCATATAGCGCCCTTCACCCTATCAGTGGTTAGAACATCGTAACTGAAGCCCACAGCTGCCTTTAAGAGCAATCATTTCAGACTAAAGGTATGTGTTGCTCAGCCCTAGCCAGTCAATCAGGGGTGAAACCTCGTGGCAGAATTCAGATGACCGCCCTGCCTGCCCTATCTGATCAACCATCCATGAATTCTTGCTCCACACACCCCTTTTTGCCCTCCAGCCCACAATATTTGGTTGACACTGAGCTGGACTGAAGCCAGACAGTAAGTAGGCTTCATCTTGAGGTTCATTGCTTCAAGCGAGGCTTAAATACTGCATCGAATACTATACGCAGTGACCAAAATGTTCCATAGTCATGTGTAGAATAAGAGGCATGAATAATGAAATGCAGTTAGCTGTCAGACGCTCGTTGCACGGAAACATCAGTGATGGAGGAGGGAGCTGACACTAAAAAAGGTACTGGTACTGTCAGCCTGTGCTCTCATTGTCTGCAGTTCTGAGTGGTGGCACGATGGCAGCTAATGCTCGGATAAAGAAACCTGGCATCTTGCCACAGGAATGTAGATTACCTTTTCCTTCCTCTTATCTATAAGGAAGTATATTAATTATATTAATAGTGCCTTATTATTCTTATAAAAATAATAATTTGATCACTCAATCCACGGCTCTTTCTGGGACGCTGCTGTGCGCAATTCGCTGCCACGTTTCGCCCACAAAATCTGCAGTCGATTCACAGCTTGTGCACATTGACCCCCACAAACAGCCATGGAGCGAAAGTGCAAATTATTTTATCTGGAGAATTGTTGACCGGGACACTTGGGAGAAACTCCCTTTCTCTTTTCAAATAACGCCTCGGGCTCTGTAATGACCAGCTGAAAAGCCAGCCAGGGCCTCGGTTTAACGTCCGGTCTGAAGGACTGCATTCCCACATCACTGCCTAGATTGACCTTAGAGGGGCCAACGTATCTTATTCTCTGCCGTCTGGTAAATTTATTGCACTCGGTTGTACGAACTTATTAGTGTGACTCCGTTTAATAAATTTATTTGTGTTGTTGACCTGCAGAACCCGTACTGACACGATGCGAAATAACTCTATAGAACCAACTCGTTGCTTGAGTGATTCCAATTGACGAGATCCCACTGTCAGAGAAAACGTGTCGGCTTTCCATGATAAAAGCAAATCTAAAAGATACTGACGTGAATCCTTATGGACTGACTCAGTCTCGTGATTGTATAAATCTGTACTTGGGCAGATTTCCTCATGGTTGCTCCTTTCATGTGTTCAAAAGCATTTCTTTTGCTAAATGTACGGTAAAACAATAGTCACTTTTAGATTAAAAAAACGGATGCCTGTTTGGCCTGCATATAAACTTTATCAGTTGCGACAGGATTGATACTACACTCATGCCTTTATTTCCCCATTGTGTGCCCGAGTAGACAGACATAAATATGAACAAAAGCATTAATTATAATTACCTGTATTTTTATATAGCACAATAACCTTCCGTTTTCCTTTACTCCTCAAATAATTTTGATAAGAGCACGGTAAATGCAAGCCTTTCAATCAGCCAGCCCAGCCAGGCTAACGTAGACAAAATAAAAGTCCCAATATAAAGAAATAGTGAAAAGTTTGCGACTTCTATTATTGTTAATAATAATAATAATAATCCTTGCATTTGGTATAGCGCCTTGCACGTCGTTGAGGCATCTCAACCCTGCAAGCCGAACCTCGACCGTGTGGGGTGGTCCGAGCTGGACACTTAGTGTGATGGTTTGCCAGACATTGTTCTCAATGGCAAGCTGTGCAGCTTTAGCTGGTTGGACTCCACCAGTACTCTCCAGCGCACACTCTGGGGTCCGCAACCTCCACTCTCGCCAATTTGGGCCCAATACTCTCCAGGATTCGGTAAACACGGAGAGAGAGAGAGAGAGAGAGAGAGCGGACGTCATTCCAGATGCAAGAACATTTCCATTTGCAGATGGCAAACACGTGTGGAACGCTCAGGCTGGTTTGGATACTTTTAAGATACCTGTGGACGGGTGTGTGTCACTCGGCTGATCAGAGCAAAATCCAGAGGTCGAGTCCTGCATGTCGTGACCGTATCAGAGCTGTGCTGATAATAGGAAAATTCTGAGGTCAAACTAATCTTGTTCCCTCCAGCTGTCAGTCTGAGTTTTGCGAATGGGCATCTTCCAGCCATTAGACGTTTTTGTCTCATCAAATTTTAATCTAAAATATAGATTCTTTGCCAAAGGGAAATGCAACAGAATTGAGCCCCGATAGGAACTTGATCCTGTGCCACCAGTTGATTAGATCCCGGCAAATCTTTTAATCCCAATGCCCTCGCCTTTCGCCGTATCTCTTAATGCTTCTATTCCCCACGAATCTCTCTTTTAAACATCCCTATTGATTCCATCTCTGTAGTTTCCTGGGACAGAGCATTCCACACCATAAAGAAACACTTCCTCGCTTCAGCTCAAAGTGTTTTGGTTCTGATTTTAAGGCTGTAACCCTGCCTCTTAGGAATCCAAACACACGCAAGATGCTCGACTGTACTCCCGACAATTTGCCGCCGCGACTGCTCGTCAGGGAAAATCACAAAATAATTACCGACTGGGTGCCTTTAGCCTTCGTTCCTGCAAATAATTCGCTGTGGATTTTGCGAGCAACTTGTGCGTTGCTGTCTGACAATCAGAACAATGCTAAAGCTGCACTATTAGCAGGAAGACAGCAAACGACTCCGAACACATGTCTCAGAAACAGAGAGTTGTTATTTTTACATGCAGTGACTACCATGAACTCTGTTCATCGTAAGGTCTATTTATTTTTACTCTGCTCCGGGGGAAAAAAAAATGGCTGGCATGAACTCGCTTTCGAGTTGACAGAAGGGGACACATGTGAGCACTGGGGAAAGCCGTGCGAGCATGTGTGTGATATGGGATGAACACGTTTGTTGAAATGAAACTGTGAGCATCAGGTTCACCAGACAGGAAGATTTTCGGTCTAAACCTTGGCTCACAATTAAAATAATAAGAATAATAATCCTTACATTTGACACAGCGCCTCATCACATCGTTGAGATGTCTCAAAGCGCTTCACAGAACATACTGTAAAGTGAATTGACTATATTTTGTGGGTGAAACACGGCAGCCAATCCTTGCATTTGATATAGTGACTTATCACGTCATCGAGACCCTCGGAAAGTGATCCGCCAAGTGATTACTGCTAGGTAAACAGAGACAAGTGGAGTAAGGAAACTGCATATTCCTTCAGGCGAAAGAAAGCGTTGGTCTAATTATCAATAGTGAGAGAAACAGCATCTGAAATGTCATATCTTTGGTAATCTTATTTCAGATACATCTACATTTCCCACAGCATTTGGGCAGGTACAAGATTGCAAAAATATCAAAAATTAATTTACAGGTTCTCAGACGTATTGTCTCATACAGCAGGGAAGGTTTATAATGATATTTTCTCAAACAAGTTGAATGCACTGTAAACTCTATCGTTTGTTGGCTGTCTGCACAATCAATACTCGGAGCCTTGTAGCGTATTGGTTAGAGTACTCGCCTCGCAAGCGAGAGGACCCAGGTTCGATTCCCGGCAGGGCAAACCATTAGGTAAGTTTCCTTACTCCACTCGCCTCTGTTTACCCAGCAGTAAGTAGGAACCCGGTTGTTAGACGAATGGCGGTCTCGTTGACGTGATAAGTCACTATATCAAATGCAAGGATTATTATTATTAAGACGGGATTTGAATTTCAAGGCTCAGATAGCCTGAGTTGGAGAATAATTAGTGTGGAGAAGGTTATTGTTGTTCCGGTGCTTTGAATTATATTGCCCTCTACATTTGTCTGTCACCCGAGTGTAAAGCATTAACACACTTTCCTCTTTGTTCGTAGATGTAGAATCAACAGATTTTCCCCCTTTAAAATCCTGGTGGACGGACATGGTCATATTAATCGCCGTGGGAGGTGCATCGCTTGCTTTCTTGATAATCCTCGTAATTATCTGCTACAAAGCAATAAAAAGGTAAGCCTGAACCTTTCGTGTTTGACTCCCCTGTTTGCGTCAGTCATTCTCTGGGAGATTCTCCTCACTGTGGGTAAATTGGAGTCTTCTCTTCTGGACCGATGTGGATTAGTGGATAATTTATCATCAGAACCTCACACCACGAAGGTCTGTAAATCTACCAATGATCAGAGGATTCACGCCTCTGTGAGTCTTTGTGTGCGTTTATATCTGTATCACCACTTATACGTCAATCTTTACAAGAGATGTACTGGAAACCCAGCAAGAATTGTTGTCCAGTGTTGGAGGAATGAGCTGCGAATAGACAGGTTAGGGCTCTTCAAAGGTCTTGAAAGGAGGCATCTCAAGAGAGGACCTTTTGGATATATAGATAGGAATTTAGATGGAATTGAGACAGACAAGACGCCAGACATTTAAGGTTGCAAAAGGCAATCTCAGATCAGACACCAGGAGGGTTCCACACCCAGAGGGTAATTACCATTAGGTTACCAGGAAGGGTGGTTGAAGCCAAGATCCTGGATTCAGTTAGATATCAGCTTGATGCTGTAATGGGAGAATAGTAGTAATAATAATAATCCTTGCATTTGATATAGAGCTTTATTACATCATTGGGACGCCTCAAAGCGCTTCACAGGATACATTGTCAAGATCAACAGAAGGACCATCATCATCCATTTGAGATGCACTGAGCAGATTGACCAAAATATTTTTTTCCAGTCTTGTAGATCCCTTGCGCTTTCAGACATCCTCCAGACGTGAAAGGCACTTTATCAAATGCAAGGATTATGATTATTGCTCCCAGGTTCCTAAATTAATAATTCTGTGTTGGAGCTTCAGACAACTCTATAAACCATACATCTATACAAATCCCCAAATCAATTTATGACTGCTTTTAGCTCTAGGCCTGGTGTTCTTTACATCGTGTGCTGTGTGTCCCTTTCTGTCAGATAACAGAGTTAGGTATTTGGCCGGCAGTGGGAATGATGATGACTGTGGCAGCAATCTGGTGAACATAGAAATCCGTGTGCTAGAGAGAATTTAGAACCCACTATAACATATTTCTGTTTATCCTTAGCAAAAGAAACATTCACAATACAAAAATACAATCCAAAATGACATTTGTACAATGCCTTTCACATGGGAAAGACCTACCAAAGCGCTGAATTCACCTACAAATGAACAGTCACTACACTTTGTGGTGGATGCAACACAGCAGTTTCTTGTGAGAATTCTCGCCCGTACTGGAGACCCTTGTTATATCGCAGGTTTGCTCATGGTGCGGTTGAGTTGTTACGACATTTACTTACCAAAACGAAATCCGAAATGCTCGCCGATAGCCTAGTCTAGAAGGATCTGTTTGAAACTTAGTGTTTCGCTTCAAAACGCCAGCCAGCATCTCTCAGCCTAAACGACGTCCGACTTCTGGGTCATCAGGTCTCTGCTTGTATCACCTCATGAAGCACACCCAGTGAACAGGGAAATGTTGACTGGCGATCGCACCCTGTTATAAAGGCACGTTGGCATTTTATGATCCCCAACTCATTACCTTATAACAGGGTTCTACTGCAAATTCGTTGACATAATAGAAGTGGTGATAGATTCTGCTTACATTGGGTCTGTACACATACCATCTTCATAATGTGAGATTGGCCATGATCAACCCAGACATTGGTCATTATTGATATTATTATTATTATATCACAGCTGCCATTAATTGTTTCACGGAGGTAGAATGAGGTTGGATTAGTCATCTCATCAGAATGATGTATTTGGGGATTGCTCAGCACTCCACCTGAACGGCATCTTTTTATATCTTTGCTATTTAGCTGAAGTTATTTTTGGTCTACGAATGCTTGAATAATTGATGGTCGGTTGTCCCTTGAATGTCTAGTGGAGAAGAACACCGGTGTAATAGATGATGTTCCTTCAGTTTTGCTCTGAAGAAAGTTCGATTTGTTTCCTTCAGGCTGCAGTGTTGCCCATTGCAATAAGATACCAGTGTTTCTCTGGTTCTCTGTATCCCAGTCGCAGTTCTCCCCCTTCCATCCAGCCCCAACATCACTTCCAAAGCAAAATATTCTGTTTTGACAATATGAATCACTCTGGCTGCAGCTCGTGCAGAACAGCAAACACTCGCAAGGAGTCCTCGTGAGAGATGTCCTTTCTTGTTTGGTGAGTAGAGAAACTCTCACCTCTAAATGCCTGGTTTGGAGCCTTGCGAGCTTGGTTAAGTGTGTCGCAAAATCAAAGTGGCTAAAGTGGCTGAGTCTGGCTGTGAACAGTCATGGGCTCCAGCTGAGATTTCAATTGCTTTGGCCATAATTTTGCACTTGGGAATATTTTTTATAGACTTCCCATTGTAACTCCTGGCCCCATGCCTGATAACTTTACTGACATTTGGAGAATAACTCCCTTGCTAGCTTGAATTGCCTTCATGGGAGAGGGGACGAGGAGGGGTGGAGCCAACACAGAATAGTTGGCCAAATTGCCCATTTCCATTTTTTGATGTTCAGTATAAAACTTTGTTTAAAAAATAAACCATACTTAACAAAGCACTCCTGGGATTTTACGTTGGAAAGGCAGGTTTGCCAGTCTGTTGCTTTGTGAGCAAAAGCGGCAGCCAATATGCGCTACAGCAAGGTCAACGACAGCAAATTACATTTGTATAAGCGCATTTCATGTCGGGAGGACGTCCCAAGGCGCTGGACAGTCAGGGATTTGTCCCATGAAAGCGACGTTTTAGCACGAATGGACAGGTCGGGGTTCTAAACACTGAAGCAAGCCCAGAGGGAATGATTAACGTAACAGTGCAGCATTCATCACAGATATTTGTAGAAAAGGGAAAAAATGTGTGGGACTTGAGTTCCAAAGGAAAATGTCAAAACAGAGCACCAGCGCAAGTCATTAATGTGCAGTCGCTGTTCTATCTGTATCCAACGCTCAGGAAAATAGGCAAAAATACTTGAAAAGTCATTTCAAAATAACAACAAAATTACATTTGTAAAGCGCCTTTCACGTCGGGAGGACGTCCCAAGGCACTGAACAGACAGAGTTTCGGACCCGAGCTAGGGATTGGGATCGGGGAGAGTGGAGGGCAGGGGGAGAGGGGGAAGCAGGATAATCGAAAGCACGGTCGAAGAGGAGGGTGTTGAGATGGGTCTTGAAGGAGGCAAGGGATGGGACGAAGGGGAGGGACTGCGGGATGGAGTTCCAAAAGGTGGGGGCAGAGTGGCAGAAGGCCTGCCCGACAATAGTGGGGGACGTGAAGCAGGCCAGAGTTTGCTGAGCGGAGTGAACGAGCAGGATGGTAGGGGGTTAGGAGGTCACAGAGGTCGAGGGGAGCAAGTCCATGGAGGGCTTTGAAGGTCAGGACCGGGATCTTTAAGTGTATCCTCTGTGTGATGGGAAGCCAGTGGAGTCGGGCGAGGATGGGGGTGATAGGGTCACGGAGCCTAGTGCGGGAGAGGACACAGGCTGCAGCGTTCTGGATGACCTGCAACCTATGGAGGGAGGAGTTGGGGAGGCCGACATTTGGTATTTTTACAAGCATGACCTGCAGAGACACGAAGCCATCCCTTTGGTGATGTATAATTATATCAAACCTCCCCCAGCTGGGATTCAGTAATGCGGCGAATCCATTAGCCTAATCACACAACAGAAACAATTACGCTTTGAGAACTCATTAACCGAGGTGCTCCCTAGTGCTTGTTGCTACGTATGATAATCACCCGATTCAATTTAGACAATGAAAGGAACATATATTTTCTGCCTTCAGCTAGCACACCTCTTGACTCTCAGCTGAAATCCCTTTGCTTTGCTTCCTCTCTCAGTCCCAACTTCAAAACCCTCTCTTTTTGACCGTGCTTTTGGTTACCGCCCTTAAATTCTCCTCCCTGCTAAGATGTTTCCTGTTGTCCTTCTGAAGCTCTTTGAGAAGGATACTGGACATGAAAGGCGCCATATGGCGCTGTGTGAGGTCCTGTTGTGTGGTGGTTGGAGAACTCGCCTCGCAAGCGAGAGGACTGGGTTCGATTCCTGGGCAGAGTGAAACGTTAGGCAAGTTTCCTTACGCCACACGCCTCTGGTTACCTAGCAGTGACTAGGAACCCGGTTGTTAGTCGATTGACAGATTGCTTTTCCGGGGGTAATAATCCCTTCAAAATAAATAAAAATAATTTGGTCACTCAATCCACAACTGTTTGCGCAATTGGTTTCCGTATTTCACCCACAAAATATACAGTCAATTCGCTTGATAGTATATTCTGTGAAGCGCTTTGAGACGTCTCAACAACATGATAAGGCGCTATATCAAATGCAAGGATTATTATTGTTACTATACATGTGAAAGTTGCCATTGTTGAATTCTAGCTGTGAGCACTGTGTGTCTGATACAGGTTTCATTGTGTAGAGCGGCAAAGAATATTTTGGGGTGGAATAGCTCATTGTCACCAGAACCTTGAATCACACAGAGAGCTGACTAGTACATTCTTGGAAATAAATTGTTCACAAACTGTCGCACCAATGCATTCTGATACCTCACAGAGATGTTACTGTAGGTTGGAACATGTCTTTGTTGCTGGTGATGTAGTCTGGTTACTGGTGCCTTGAAGTCCGTCGGGTTCGAAAGGAAACTAAGGAAGTACTGAATGAAGAGACCTTCATTCGAACAAGCCTTCTTCACAGCCAATGCAATCGTTTGTACTTCCGCGTCTGAAGAGACCGTCTCAAAGATGCTTTACAAAATCGAAATGGGAGGTTGTGTGTGTCGGGGGTGTGGGGGGGGGGGGGGGTGGTGGTGAAGGGGGGGGTGAAGGGAGATGGCTGAAAACACCTGAGTCAAAGGGATATAGAAAGCAGAGAGGGAAGGGGCAGGGTAGAGGGATTTGGGGATAGAATGCACTGTCGCAACCACAACAACAACAACAACATCAATGACATCAACCACATCGTGGATATTTGAACTATTGGGACTCGTTATCTTTACAGTCAACTCTTTTACAATCACTCCGCCTCGCCCCCTCCTTAGCCTCCTTCAAGTCCCGCCTCAAAACCCTCCTCTTCGACAGTGCCATCAGCCACCCCCCTTCCCCTCCTCTCCCTTCTCCCCCCCTGACCCCAGCTCGGGTCTGAAATGCTGTACACTGTCCAGCGCCTTGGGATGTCCTCCCGACGTGAAAGACGCTATACACATGCAATCTTGTTGTTGTTGTCGTATTGCCAGCATTCAGCTCCGTCACTGCAGCGAGATCTGATCCACAAAACGTACCGAGCTGAGCATCACCTCCGGGCTGCATGTGCATTCATTCACCCGTGGCCTTCGCTAGCCATTGGCAGACGCTCATAGCCAGCGACGTAGAAAGCCTCTGAACTGACCATTAAGTGTCTCTGAACTGCATCAATCATCATTGTTAATGACACTCTGACTACATTGCCGATGTTACAGAGCGAGGTCAGCGCTGATCTGTGCAGAAAGCAAAAACCGACAGACAAGCACTGACAAATTTCCTTTTGGAAATAACTAAACCAGCCATCTGATACACATGTGAGAGATAGATGAGGATACGGCAGCAATATAAGGAACCATTGTGGATTACAGAAGGTTAATTGTGATTGACACTGCTTTTCTATTTTTACGTTCTGTGCAGAGGTTCTTTTTTTTGAAGGACTCACATTCCTTGAGAATTGAGGTTTCGACCCACAGGAGACGGAGAGAGAGAGAAAATATGCTAACTAGCTTTTAAATAATTAAATCACCACTTCCCTGAATGGATCCAGTATGAAAGCAGCAAGTTTCAAAGTTCTCCTCTCTTGCCTTTCCCCCTCCTCTATCCCCCAACTACGTGATGCAGATAAAAAACAAAATCTATGATCTGTCTCTTTCCTTAACTGGTAAAGATACAGAGACTCAAATCAAGTAGGAAGATGTACTGTAATGTACTTTACCACCAAAACATCCCTTTGGGGATCTATCATAAACCAAATCGCTAAATATAATAATAATAATCCTTATGTATACCATTAATAATATTAAAAATATTATTTTAATGCTATTTGCAAGGATATGGGGAAAGAGCGGGGGAAGTGGGACTGATTGGGTGGCTCTTTCAAACACCCGGCACAGACATGATGGGCCGAATGGCCTCTTTCTGTGCTGCAATATTCTATGATTGTATGATTATTGGGTTCACTTTGATCAAAGCAAATCATCTTTTGTTTTGTGGTCAGGAATGAATAAAATAAAAAAGAATGGCTTCAGTCAGTATTAATTACCTGGGTCGGTTATTGCTGTCTTGTTATCCTTAGAGCTACTCAGCTGAACTTTAAATGTCACATTCTCTACTTTATCCCAGTATGCTGTCATTTTATACTGTTGGGAACTGAAAATAACCAATATTATTTTACAGGATCCAATAAAAACATAATTCAGCAATAATCCCTGCATCTGATATAGTACCATCATCAAAACATCTCAAAGCTCATCACAGGATTTGCTGTGAAGTGCAGTGACTGTGTATTTGTAGGCTGCAGGGTTTGGCTCATATCTCAGCGCTGTAAGGAAGGGCGGCTCAGTGTGAATGTAACACCTGGATCCAGTCTCCTGTACGCTTGGTGCTATGGGACGCTACTCTGGGTGATGGCCACTATATTTTTAAAAATGCAAGTTGTTGTTGAGGCACTTTGGCTGGTGTTCTCAGACAGCTCAGGTATCTGTCATTTTCCTCTGTTGCAGAGGAGTTTGTTACCCTGTGAGGAGGTTTGAATAATAAAATGTTCGTAACTCGTGCCTGCAGGACAGTGTTAACACAATCATGTTATGAACGTTGCTTGTTTATCGCCCCCCCCCCCCCCCCCAACCTTACAGCAATAACATTTGAGTCAATGAACATCTGCATGCCAAGGGCTTAAGCGGAGCTGTACCATGCCAGGAACCATATCTCAGCCACTACTGGCCTCATTACCGCTAGGTTAAGCAGGAGAAAAACAAACTAGATCTGCCTTAAATCCCGCTTGTGATCAGTGACCCCAACTGAAAATGACACACATTAACATCAGGATCTCGCAAACAGCCTGGGGCTTGTCACAGCGATCACTAAAAATAGCAGTCTTTAAATTTCCTGAATATAAGATCACCAGAGAGGTTTAATGAATAATAATAATAATCCTTGCATTTGACATAGCACCTTAACACGTCTTTAAGACATCTCAAAGCGCTTCACACAATATATTGTAAAGTGGAGTGGCTGTGTATTTTGTGGGTGAAATGAAGAAGGCCCTTGACCAAAGTGACGTTCCTCATTGTTCCAGAATAACCTTTGTCCCATTACAGCATCAAATTGCTTGTTATATTGTCTGGAGCTTTGGCATCAACCACCCTCTGTGTAAGGAGTTATTTCCTGGTGCCTGCTTTGTAAATGAAAGCATTTTGCTGGGTTTACTTTCCCAATCCCATTTAGCAAGTTACACAGCTCTGAAAGGTGCCCTCCGAGATGTCTCCTTTCAAAGCTGAAATAAGCCCAGAATTTCTGACTGTTCCTCCTATAGCTCATCCTTCGAACACCGGACATCATCCTGATTATACTGCTTCAGAAACAACTAACAAAAAGAGTGTGCTGTTTCTAATTCGGTGTGGAAGGAATCCCAGTGTCTAAGGCTCACGCATTGACAAGCGAGGGAGATATGTTATAAAAGTGTCTGGAATGAAATACAGAGACGCACGCAAACACAGTTCACACTTTTCTCTCCCCCCATGAAGTGCTAATGAAACAGCTGTTCAAAAAGCCAGTCAGCTGCCGTGTGTAGAGGTAGATACTGACTGGATTATTCTTTTTGTGGACTAGCATATCAATGTTCAGCCCCAATCGTGCCCACATGCGGTTCCAATGGCTGCTTCGAGCATCAAACTGCTGGTAAAATTAATTGGCTTTGTAGCCATAAAACCTCCTTCCAGTTTCCTATCAAGTCATTATAAATCTCGAGGCTAATGATAAAAGTAATGAGAAAGAGGGCCAGAGCAATGAGGAAATACTCCTTTGGTTCCCATTAAATTTCCCCAGCAGGGAAAGATAATTAAAACGAGCCAACACTAACAGAATTAAAAGAAACTGGCCAAGCATGACAGCATGTTATTTCAGAACCAAGCAGCCCATTTTTTTGTTGCCTGGCCTTCACATTTCCAATGCAAGTTATCTATCAGTGTAAGAATTCACAGCGATCATTTGATCCTGTTTCGCTCGTGACTTTTGCAAAAAAAAATTGAAATTTCCAGTTACGTTAATAATCCTTGCATTCGATAGTATTCCTTGCGTTTGATGTAGCGCCTCATTGTACATCTTCAAATCACACCTGAAGACTTTCCTCTTCGCCGGTTACCTCCCCTCTCTTTCCAGCAAGGCTTCAAACCACCCCACTTTTAAGCACTCCACAATTAGTGAGATGCTAATTGTATAAAGGGCGCTGTATAACCCAACTTCTTGTTGTTGTACATCTTGGGCATCTCATGAATGGTGGAATGTAGACAGCAAAAGGCACATGTAACTTCTTTTAGCGACAGCTTACATTTCAGCCGGACACTCAGTAACACATATGTTAGGCGTTTCGCCCACAAAATACTCAGTCAACTCACTTTACAGTGTATCCTGTGAAGCGTTTTGAGACGTCTCGAAGACATGATAAGGCGCTGTATCAAATGCAAGGATTGTTATTATTATTATTACTATTATTAATTTCCTGGAGGTTTAGTATAGGAAAATGAGCACTAGCGATGACTAATTGAATTAATCATCATAACAATTAATGAAACACTCATTGTACACACTCAGTTGCTCTAAGTAACAGAAAACTATTGTAAAATCATTAGCTTCACCCAGTCCCAAGCACAGAGGAGATAGATGCTCGCAAACTAAAACGTACTGACAATTAACACTGCTTATTTTTTTCTCTCTCCGTGTCTTTCCCCTCCCCTCCCCTTCCCCGCTTTTGTCCATTTTAACACTGGTGTCCATCCCCGGAATCAGGAAGCCTATGCGAAAGGAAGAAAATGGAACAAGAGGTGCTGAGTACGCAATGACCCCCCAAAACAGCAAAAGCCAGGACACAAATAACGCAGTGGTTTAAAAAAAATTGGGGTTTTTTTTTTAGAAACAAAGAAAAACTGCAGAGAAATGATTCAATATGTACGGAGGTGTTTTGATTCTATCTACACGTTGTGCTGTGTGCAACACTTGACGACGTGTTCCGGGGCTATAAGGACCTCGTGTCGCAAAAAAAGGGGATGGATGCATCAGTTATCTCTGAGCAGGGAAAACACTCGGCCCTTCGGACTGTCGAACGGAGGATAAACCTGCCACTCACTCAAGGCAAAGCCAAGAGGCAAGACCTCACACAAAGGCACAATCATTGCATGCAGTCTCTCTCTCGCTGTTGGACGCAACGACTTCAAGAATGCAACGACTTCAGCTCCCCGACGGACTCTTAACCGGTTCACACAAGCCGTCTTAAAAAAAAATAGAGCTCGCTGAAGTGAACGCAGTCTATTAAAACAGTGATGACTTACTGTGCTGGGTTTCAGCAGGCAGTGGGGACGTTGAAGCCTTTCACCTGCATGATCCAGTGACTCCAGAGCACAGCGAGGTTATTGCCTAAAAGTTGACAAAGGAAGAAGATGTAACAAGAACACCAACAACTTGCATTTATGTAGTGCGCTTCATGCTGGATGGCGTCTCAAGAGCGCTTCTAAGCACTTATAAAAATCAACCATAAGAAAAATCAAGGAAACCCACAAAAAACATGACCCTCTCTATCCCACCTGGAACATTTGCCGTCTGCTGACTATGCAAATTACTTTGGCTGAAGCCATCTCATCAACATGTCTGACTCTCGCTGAAGTTATCAGGTCAGGTTTGCAAGTGACTATGAAGACAGGTGCTTTCTTTCCCTCCTCATTCATTGCCACGTCATTTTAATATGCTTGGTAAATTAAAGCCTTTTCTAGTTTAAAGACTGGTTCAGAGAGCAGATTTTCGTATTGTTTCACACGTTTTAAAATACATCTGACATCACTTAATAGGATGCTTTTTTTTTATTCATTACATTTTCAATCACAGCTGTCCCCGGAACAATTGCAAGTTGTCCTTTTTTTTCCCCCCTCTCTTTGAAAATTAAAATCCAATTTTCTGGAGAGTTCAAAGTAGATTTCATAGCACATTTTAATCTTAAAAGGATTATATTTTTGTAAAAGTAGCGCTTTAATCGTAGCGTGTTCTTTTCTGATTGATGGAAAGGATTTCTTGTGCGAGTGGTCTGTTATTCTAAAACTGACATGCTTTTAAAACTAATACTGGGAGCTCACTCAACTCCTGTGAATCTCCTCGCTAGAGCTCTAACGAGAAAGGTGGTCCTAGCTGGATAAATTGGCTCCTAATATTCTCTGGGATTTGGCAAAGCAGGGTGTGTCCCTCCGGGAATAGAGTACACATTCCCTTCCAGACACAGGCAAATTTCCACATGTAGGTGACATACAATTGCAGAACTCTCAGTCTGGTTTGGAGACTCTTAAACATAGTGATGAGACACCTGACTCCATCACCGCCCTCCCCCCAAAAAAAAATCTTCAAACCACGTGGCGACTTCAGCAGCGATTGCGTTCCGGTGTAAAAAAAGGCTTTAATCTATTCAAAATGTCAGAAAAATTACATTTCTGCTTTTGTAGCATTGACTAATACGACAGTTGCATTTCAGGCGCTTTTCGTCTTCAAGAGAAAACTCACAGTCACGTTCTGTCGTAGTGTTTGTGGGTAGCGTTCAGTAACCGGTGAAGTTACCAAAGCTCTTAATGAAAAGGCCCCAATTTATTTTATATTCGTGATCCCGTTCACAGACCTCTTGCCATTGGGTTACAGTTTCAAACTGGCTGCATGCAACAGGTGAGAATGTGTATAGACTGAATGTAGGAATGATCAGCATGGCCCAGCTCGGACCCAGCTCCTTCTGATTGCCTTCTGTTGAACCCTGCCCTCCAAAAGTTTTAGAAGCATGTAGGTGTAACGTCGCAAAGTCCGCAGGCGATTTATAACATAAACAATAGCATTGGCGCAGGTCTGTTCTTGCACATTTCGCGGCACTGACCAGCAACCTTTGCACAGATTAGCATGCAGTTGTGACTTGTAATAATAGTAATAATAATAATACTAATAATAATCCTTGCATTTGATATAGCGCCTTCGAGATGTCTCAAAGCACTTCACAGAATATATTGTAAATACGCTGTATATTTTGTGGGTGAGACGTGGCAGACTAGTTAGCTACCAAGTGCTGCTCTTTTTTTTAGTTCCAACTTAAGCGAGGGATCAGAAGTTGGTCTTAAAGGCCAACTTCCATTTCTGAAGTTCACGTATAGGGATTTTATACAGCGATAAAACCTTGTAAATGGACTTTCTCCGTCCAGTTCAATATAATCCATCAATAAAGGAGAACCTCCTCACTAAATGTTTGCGAGGTAATGAACTACAAGTTTTTTTTTATATATATATATATCTGCGCAATAGACTTGACGGAATGTGGAATGCCTTACCACAAACATCTGTAGAAACATGAAACCGCCACAGCATTTAAGGGAGGTTTGAATTGATTTGAATACCGGAGGAAAATCAATATTGAATATTACAGGGAACGAAAGAGCAAGGGATTGGAATCGGAGTTAGATGAAGCTTGCACCACGCTGGGAAAAATGGCATCTTTCTGTGCTATAAACTTTGTATGATTCTAGAACTCAATACGGCAAATCTTAAGATATTTATTTAAGTTACAGTATTTTTAAATTCGGACGTATTCATTTGCAAGGCCTTAAGAAAAAAGTTCAAGTAAATGTGAGTTATTTACTGGTGTCCTTTTAGCAATAAATCTTCAATAATATTGGCTGCCACTTATATAATCAGTTGTGTGCGTTGAATTTGCAAGAACAGATTCATTCATTCAAAAGTTAATGGTTGCATTAGCTATGTGACTTATAGACTTATATCCAACATCTGTGCAATGGAAATTGTTATCCTAAGAAAAAAATGTATATTACAGACAATAGTTTGGAGAGATAATGCATGAATGTAAATATTAGTAAGATGCAGAAATATGCCCTCAGTACCATATACTATGTGTACAGGAGAACTATGTTGATAGAAAATCAATTTCAGTGGAAAATGATGTCAAATTTTAATTAAAAGGAGATTGAATTTATTGTCATCATCTTTTCAGAAGCAGCCATTAATGTGGACCTTAATAATTATAGGTTGCTGCACAAGGCTTTCCCTTCTCCCCTTCCCAACTGAATCAACTTGTGCAGTGCCCTATTTATAATACATCCTACTGTTTTTTTATTTTCAATAAAATTTACAATGCGAGATTGTGAAATTGTCTTTGTGATGATGTTCGGCAATAATTCTGCAGCGGGAAGCAGGTCTGTTGCTGAAGTAAGAAAAAGATACAAAATATTACTCATTAAGGGGGTCACTTAACCAATAGGATATTTGGCTCACAGGGTTGAAGGTGTATTAATATCTTAAAGTCTCGTTCGAAAGCCAGAGTGGCTGATCAACCGTGATCAATATTACTGTGGATCCTTGTGGGCTACTGTGAGGGGCCACTTTGTATTACCTACACCGGGTGAGTATCCTTTTTGTCTGATTTTTTTTATTGACCTGAGAAGGACTGACATTATGATTCATGTCTCAAATCTTCTGCTCCCAAATTGATCTTTTACCAACTGAGCCACACAAGAAGGTTATACTTTTGGTTTGAATTAGCAACTCCCATCTCCAAAAACATCAAGAGTGGGGTCGGAAGGGTTGATAGGACAGATACATGTTACATGAAGAGCATAAATGAAAGAAAAAAAGAGATTTCTGCTACCTTCCACTTCCAAAATAGTTCTCGACAGCAATAATAATAACATGAATAATCCTTGCATTTGATATAGCACCTGATCACATCTTTGAGACGTCTCAAGGCTCTTCGCAGAATATACTGTAAAGTATAGTGACTGTGGGCTTTGTGGGCGAAACGCGGCAGCCGATACTTTAACAGGGAGAGGAAAGACTTTAGGATAAGCATCCAAAGCCTGTCTTCAAGATTAATGTGTCAGAACGCAGGTTAACCTTTGTCGGCAACACCAAATCATATTGTGCGGTTCATTTGAGAGGACTGCTTCACGTAACAGCTTTATAATGCCTACCATTAACCTTTTTTTAATAAAAAAAATTCAATTTGCTCCTCATCAAGAATCTATCTTTGCTCCAGCAATTAAGAACAGCAGCAAAATGTGTTTTACCAACCATTTTGTTAGCCTTTGTTTCGTGATCGGTTTTCCGTGTATCTGAGCCCAAAGGGGGTTACTAACAGCCTCACTTTTTCAGGTGTCTTCAACATGATCCAAATAATAAGACAAAAGACCTCCTTGGAGTTATACAATGGGAACCTATGTTTAACCACAGAGCCGTTTGGAGATGGGCACAGAGATTGTAATGTCTTGTGACAACTGAAGCTAAACCCACTGTTTTCAGGGCAGATTTGAGTTATAACCCGAGGATAATAACCCTGTCCTCGTGCCAGAGAAGGTACAGTCAGTCAGTCAGTCAGTCATTAATTTCCTTGTAATTCAATAATCCTCCTATGTACAATCACTCTTCTTGAGATGGCACTTTTCCAGATAAGGAGCTTAAGGTCCTTAACTGAAAGAGAAGGTCCATCCATCATTTTATGTAATTCCAAATCAAGGTCCTGTCTCAGATTCAGATTGAAAACAAATGCCTACATGACTTCTAACAGATTCTCCTCTGTTGATAATTCATTGAAGGCAAAAGGTAGCCACCTTATTAAAATTCAGAGCTCCTTGTTTAGTGCCTTGGGATGTCCTCCCGTCGTGAAAGGTGCTATATAATAATAGTAATAATCCTTGCATTTGATGTCTTCAAGACATCTCAAAGCTTTCCACAGAATATACGGTAAAGCGAACTGACTGTATTTTGTGGGCGAAACGCGGCAGCCAATTGCACACAGCAGTGTCCCACAAACAGTCGTGGATTGAGTGACCAATTTTTTTTTAAAGAATTATTACCCCCGGAAAAGGGATCCGCCAATTGACTAACAACTGGGTTCCTACTTACTGCAAGGTAAACAGAGGCGTGTGGAGTAACAAAACTTTCCCAATGTTTCTCCCTGCCCGGGAATCAAACTCATGTCCTCTCGCTTGCGAGGCGAGTGCTCTAACCACTGAGCTACAGGACTCCATAAATCAGTCTGATTCTACCACCGCTTTAGGCAGCGAGTTCCACAATCTCACTCCCCTCTGCGTAAAGTAGTTCCTCTTAAATTCTCTTTTAAATCCCCCTTAGTCGCTGTCTTATATTTGTGTCCCCTGGTTACCGACTCCACAACCAGCCTCTGTGTATCCATGAGTCAGTCAAGAAGGTGATCTTTCACTGAAAATCTTTGTGCATCCTGAACATACTGTATGTTTGGAAGAATGCATAGTGCACGATATACAATACGGAATACTGTATGTACACGGGTGACACCTAAATCATCTTTAATTGCCGGTGACAGACATACCCATTATCACGTATAACATTATTTTTACTGCTCACTGGGCTGCGGTATGACACTGACCAAAGAAACACTCAGATTTGACACTCAAAGGAGCCATTATGTAATTTGCAAATGCGGTGCCAAAAATGCCCCAGCTGTGCGGTGAATATTTAAAGCATCATCGTTGCAGTTACATGTGACTGTATCCTGCGCATAAAATATTAATAGGATTCTAGGAGTCCTCCCGTAGCAGAGCGCTGGATTTATTTTTACACTCACGCATTGGTGGATCAGATCAAACTGAACAGAAATTGATGATGACGTTGAAATTCCAAGTCACTGATCATCATTCCTCATAGAGAAACCGAGCGAG